TAGACAAGACAGACACAGGGTGGGGGAAGGGGTAGAACACACAGGCAGAGTGAACTCTGAGATGGCAGCAAATGGAGTGTTAGTTTCATTTATTTATTTGTTTATGTGCATGGGTGGCGGGTGAACCCCCGCATTGGGGAGGCTAGCCTGCTGGCTGCGCCCCTTCTGCCCAAGGCCCTGCCCCCTGCATGCCAGAGCCCCTATCCCCCCCTCGGCAACTGGAGGAGCCCTGCGGCTTGTCCACCTCAGCCACGCCAGGCTACCCCCCACCCCGAGCACCAGTACAGTCCTAGCTACGCCGGACTGAGTTGCCAACCCCCCCGAGCCGGCCACACTGGGCCGAGCTGGCCCTTGGACGGGACAGGTCCTGGCCCCTCCAAACGCCAGGCCGAGCTGCCGGCCCCCCGAGCTGGCCATGCTGGGCCAAGCCATCTCCTGGATGGGACAGGCCCTGACCCCACCAATCACCAGGCCGAGCCACTGGCCTCTCCAGAGCTGCCTGCTTAGCCCCAGGCACACTGGGCCGGGCCAAGCTGCCAGCCTCCTCGCACCTGGCCAGCCCCAGCGCACGGCTGAGCGAGCCACTTCACTCCCCTGCCAGACCCTCCGGCCCACCGCTGGCTCGCTGCGTTCCCTCCTCACTCCCCCACGCCTGAGGAGGAGGGACATGGCGAGCAGCGGCAGGCAGGCAGCAGCAGACAGTGGCAGCCTCGGGGCAGGGCCACTGTGGCCCAGGTGGCGGGTCAGCAGGAGCTGTGCCAAGGAAGGCTTAGCCTTCCCTTGTCTATTTTACCTGCTGCCTGTGTTTATGTGGGTGCATTAACTTAGGAGAAGATAAGATAAATGGAAAGAAAAAGGATGGAAAGGGGGTGGATAGAGCAAGAGTAAAGAGGGTAAGAAAGTCCCTTTTTAATGGCATCCATCTAATTGTAAGCAATTTGCTGTATTCATTTAATCATAGAATCATAGAATATCAGGGTTGGAAGGGACCTCAGGAGGTCATCTAGTCCAACCCCCTGCTCAAAGCAGGACCAATTCCCAACTAAATCATCCCAGCCAGGGCTTTGTCAAGCCAGCCCTTAAAAACCTCCAAGGAAGGAGACTCCACCACCTGCCTAGGTAACGCATTCCAGTGCTTCGCCACCCTCCTAGTGAAATAGTTTCCTAATATCCAATCTAGACCTCCCCCACTGCAACTTGAGACCATTGCTCCTTGTTCTGTCATCTGCCACCATTGAGAACAGCCGAGCTCTATCCTCTTTGGAACCCCTCTTCAGGTAGTTGAAGGTTGCTATCAAATCCCCCCTCATTCTTCTCTTCTGGAGACTAAACAATCCCAGTTCCCTCAGCCTCTCCTCATAAGTCATGTGTTCCAGACCCCTAATCATTTTTGTTGCCCTCCGCTGGACTCTTTCCAATTTTTCCACATCCTTC